ATACATGCTATATGCAAAATATTAAGTTGATCTTTTAATGCACCCATGCGAAACAGTGACACAAATTTTCATCTGAAAATCATCTGAATAATTTGTCTGCTGTCTGAAAGGGATCAAGCCTGATATATTACAACATATTCCCAATGGTTGATATCCACGCTGTTTCAAATAAAAACGATATGATCAAAAACCAAGTTTTATGATAATTAGGGGCATTTTGAAAGGAATTGGCGCTTTTCTGAACATGACCCCAAATAGAAATGTCTCAAAAAGGTGGGGGTGGGCACTAAGCTGGTCGAGTATGATACTAGTAAACTACTGTGACCTGTGAAGTCATGAAATGTTATGAATATTTATAGCACTTTAACATTTCATTGAGGTAATTAAATTGACTTAGTGGGCAGAGTAACTAGCATGACATCTCATCTTCATTGGTGAACATCTTTATATCATCAACATTTTTAGCAAATATAAAAGTTAACACTAGCATTGAATATATAAAAACCTGTTTCCAGTAGACTTCTAGAGTTCATAAAACACTAGTATTATAAGTTGATAAAAACCTGTGTTTCTAGTAGACTTCTTGAGTTCATAAGTGATTCTATGACATCATCATCACAATATGTCACAGCATAAGACAATAGACATCTCCTGAAACCAGTGTGAATAACAAAAGTGATGTAGAGGAAAACAAATCTCAATTCATTGTGTACAAGTTGCTAAAACTTGTAGCGAAATAAAAAAGTATTCACAGGGTTCAATGCATAAGGATTGTTAAGTTAAAAACTGCTCATCTGATGTCTATGCAAATAAGGTCATGAATATGCATAACTAACGAGAAATATGCATGGAATATATACTATTCCAGAGTTCAGGTAATGAATGAACATTTATGAAAATACAGCATTTCATAAAAAGTCAGGCATATACCATACTTCCCCAATCATAGTTCCCCGAGGATAAGCCTACCCCTCTATTTTTAGACATTTAACGAGAGCATCCCCAGTTATAGGCCCAGTGTGTTTTTACCAGGCATTTATTAAAATATGTGTGTAAAAAGTGTGTTTCAAGATGAACCCTGATGTTGCAATACTGAAGTACATAATACATATCTGTTTGAGTGGTAGCTTTTAAAACACCAAAAATATAACTGTCAAGTCGTAAAACTTGGTCATTGGTTATCGTTTTACTTTTCTGAATAATCGATGTCCATTGAGACTATCATGAATGGGGTGTGAACAAGTAAATTATTCCTCAAGGTGACCTGTTGGCGGCGACGGTGTTAAGGTGTTAAATACTTCCTCCACACTCAGTTTACCTTTTGAAAACTGTGAATCACCATTTTTAGGGGAAACAAATCACCATTTTTTCAACGAAAATCAGTGCTAACAGATCACATTTTAACATTGTGATAATTCACTTCCGCATTGCGTTAAAAAAATCACATCGTCAATAATTGGAAAATTTCATCAGTACAACTCAGCATTTTGATTGGTTAATGAAAGACTTAATGTATTAGGTCAAAGGACGTTGTTTCAGGTCAAATCATGCTGAAAAACATCATGGCAGAAATTGCATTGCATTGAGAGTGTGTATGATCGAAAACATCCCACAACAAAGATAATGATAAAGATTTTGCTTTTAACTGTTTTCACACATACCCTACCCATTTTTACAACAAAAATTCAGACAGTATTTAAATCGTATTGTAATAAAATGTGTGTATTTTTATAAACATGTTTGTTTCTTCATTGTAAAAGTGTGGAAATCAATGACGACTGGTTTCACAATTTTTTTTCTTCCAAAATACACAATATTCCTCTGAGCCCGGCATGGTGAATGAAAGATGTAATTTGGATAATTGTTAGTGGGTGGTAAGATGATTACAATGTTAAACCCAAAAAAAAAATCATTTTTTCTGAGATGGTCCTCGGGTGTAAGCCCACTCCTTACTTTCATGTTGAGGCCCCTGGCTTATGATCGGGAGTATGGTAACTTGATAACATAATGCAAAAGGTCAAGTGTTACCTTGCTGTGAGATCTTTGAATTCTTCACATTCGCCCAACTGTTTACACACTCTCCATGCTGGATGGTAATACTGACTCATTAAGTCACTACAGGTATCATGTGCAACTCTGTAATCATGGGCCTCAATAAACAAAACAAAACATTACGTATTATCTTGTTTGAACATTTGTGTACACCAGCATATAAAGAACACAATCTGTACAATTCACAATGAGAAGTGAATAGTCAGGTTCTTGATTTGATGAAGAGTAATTGCTGTGATAGGACATTGTAAGATTGCCAGGCATAAATATACAGGAAGAATACTAATCTATGTGAACTGACTTGATATTTAGGTTAAACGCGTGGTATAGTTATACCTGTATTATATATTACCTGTAATGCAGCCATAGCAATCAGAACCAACACACGGCCATTTCTGTCATCGATATCATCTCCTGACACTCGTAATAACATTGCTAGCTGAAGTAACTGAAACATAAATTGGTTAATGCATTATTTTTTCAGAGAATAATCTATTTGTTGGTAATTTTGGGGGAGTATTATTGCTCTGGTCTACATATGGAATAATACTACAATTAAAATTTATACACTGTCAGTAAAACATGTGTATAACAAGTCAACACTAAAATGGCTGATAATATTGTTTTTAATTTAAGATATCAATATGAAAAAAAGTCTTGGGAAAAGGTGTTTATACTGATAACCAATTTTACAGTTCAGGCAAGTTTTATTTTTTTTTTATTTCTAGGAAATAGATATGTTGATCTACAATTTTATGAGTTGATTATAGATTATACCACATACATGTGAAGGTAAGTGATGATTTTCTATGAAACAAACTATATTGAAATAGAAGATTCCTCAGAATGAGAGGTAAGTACTATATGGTAAAAAATTGTAATAGTATTTAACTCACCTTTGGGGCATTTTTATATGTTGAATGAGATGACAATAGAGATTTCTTTATCATCTATTTTATCTTCACACAGTCTCACTGTGGAACAAATATGATGAGTGAAGTCAATGTTGAGAAGAAAAACATAATGTATAATCAGAACCATTCACACATGTGTATATGACTCTTTCAGAGCTAATGGACAGTGATTCGCTTGTTGAACATTGTCCTAGCATTAAATAACTTTGCAAGATACAAATAAAATTACCATACTTTGTTACGTTCCGAGTAAATATTTCCAATGGCTTGAGTCTGTGACTGTACTTGTACATGTCTATAGTACCAATTTTAAATATAATTTTTTACCTTGTAAAGGAAGTATCTTTACATCATAATTACTTAGTAGTTGTAATGCTTCTATTAAATCTAACTCTGCACGTATAGTAGCTGGTACATCAGCTATCAAGTGCAGACAAGCTCTGAAAATGGAAATTAGAACGTCTCATATACTTAAGCTTCAGTGAACACATTCAACATACATCTTAATGTATTTATGAAAAAAAATAGTTTTTTTTCTTGACTCCAAGATATCAGATAGATTCATGAAGATACTGGCAGTGAATTCATACTTACTTGGCTAACTCCATGCATGGATCTGTGAGATTGGAAGAAGAATTAAAGTATTCCATGGCTGCATTCAACACTAATTCTACAGATCTGTCATATGGTACCTTTATTTCATTCAACATCATCAACCTAGAACTACCCGCACCATCAAGTTCATCCATGCCTCGATCCATCAGATCACCGGCTAGTTTAATGTTTTCCAGTCGACCAGAACATAACAGACTTTCAGTGAAAATCTGAAAAAAAGTAGTCATTATTTTGAAAGGCCCAAGTTAGGTGACCTAGTTGTCATCCCTAGCAAGTCCATGTAAAATCA